TGGCCAGATTTCATTGTTTCTCATTGCCATGTAGTATTCCATGGTATAGATAAACCACATCTTCTTGATCCATTCATCTGTTGATGGACACTTAGGCTCTTTCCATGTTTTAGCTATTGTGGAGAGTGCTGCTATGAACATTGGGGTACATGTGCTCCTATGCATCAGCATTTCTGTATCCCTTGGGTAAATTCCTAGCAGTGCTATTGCTGGGTCATAAGGGAGTTCTATTGTTAGTTTCCTGAGGAACCTCCACACTGTTTTCCAGAGGGGCTGTACCAGTTTACATTCCCACCAACAAGAAATCACCTGTTAATCTTATTGAGACTCCCTTGAAGGTGATGAAGCACTTGTCTCTTCCTGCTTTTTAGACACTCTCACTGGGTTTTAAAAGTTTCATTATGACGTGCCTAGGTGTGGATCTCTCTGAATTTATCCTACTTGGAGTTTGTTGTGCTTCTTGAAAGTGCAATATTCTTTCAGTCCCCCTGTACCCTACCCCACCCCTGCCATCTCTGCCTCAACTCCTAGGACTCCTGTTATAAATATATTGATATAATTAATGGTGTCCCACTGGTCTCTGAGGCTCTGTTCATCTTATTCTTTTTTCATTTTGTTCCTCAGAATTGATCATCTCAATTAACCTATATAAAAGTTCACTGATTCCTCTGCTAGCTCACATTTGGTATTGAAGTCTTCTACTTAGTTTTTCATTTCAGTTTTTGTACTTTTCAACTCCGGAATTTGTGCCTATTTCCTTTCTATAATTTCTTTATCTTTATTCATATTCCCTATTTGGCGAGGCCTCATTCTCTTCTGGTTTCTTTCAGTTCTTTGTCATCATTTCCTTCAGTTCTTAGAGCATATCTGACAGTTGATTTAAAGTTTTTGTCTAGTAAGTCCAGTGCCTGGACTTTCTTAAGGACAGTTCTTTTTGTTTGTTTTTGAATGAGCCATACTTTGTAATTTCTTTGCATGCCTTGTAATTTTTGTTGAAAATTGTTCACTTTGAATATTATAATGCAGTAACTGTAAATAGGATTACCCCTCGCCTGAATTTGCTGTTGCTGGTTGCTGTGAGTTATAGTTGTCTGTTTAGTGATTTTTCTAAACTTTTTTTGCAAAGACATTTTTATTTTGTTGTGTGTAGTCACTAAAGTCACAGTTTCTTTAGCTTGGTGGCTAACTGGTACGTTGTTAGGAAGTTCCTTAAGTGCTGCTGTTGCCGCCGCCACCACCACCACAATAAAACTCTTCTGGCCTTTAGAGATTGGGTCTGTGCTGGAGTACTCCTTCAAAGCTTAGGCAGGCCTTATGCAACTCTGCCTAAGCCTTCACTTCCTGCTTACTTGGAACCTAATGATCAGCCAGAGGTAAAAGCTTATGGTCTTCTCATGTTTCTCGTAAGCGTTCATTAACCCTGGGCAATCGTGTGGCCTTCTGGACTTTCTGGTTTATGTGGGAGCTTTTTAAAACGTTTACTCCTCCATGTATCTCCTTCCTTAGGCTCTTTCTCTTTTAACTTTTCAAACTGTCTGCTGCTTGCCCCACCTGTTATCCCTTGCCCCAGGTGGTTGTGGCTGGTAGGCTTATTTTTAAATGCTTTCCATTAAGTGCTGCCCAGGAGGCCACTCCAGCCCTGAGAAAGTTCCAAGTGGGATAAAACAAAGGTAAGACCCCAAGTTGATCCCTCAGGGAGCCACAAGACAGGTCAAAACATACAAGCACAATTCTTTGAGAACAAAGTTTATATTGCCTCCTGTGGCACCGGCGAGCCACACCAGGAATACAGCTGCCTCTTAGCTTGGGGTGGGGAATGATGGGCGGGTAAGTTCAAAAGCCCGAACATAATTTTACTGAAATGTAGCAGCTTTCTTCATTAAGCCTTTCTCTGGCTGTTGTTCGTTTCTTGTTAGATTCTAGAGTTCTGTAAGTATTGGTTCTGACAGGTTTTGTCAGCTTAATTATTTGCTTTTGTGGAGGGACAAGTGTCTTGGGTTCCTTACTCTGAGGTATAAACAGTTTTGCAGTTATTTTTTTTCATGTTTATTTATTTATTTTTGAGACAGAGAGAGAGAGGGTAGGGGCAAAGGGAGAGAGGGAGAGAGAGAATCATAAGCAGCCTCTGCACTGTCAGCACAGAGCCCCATGAGTAGCTCCATCTCATGAATGGTGAGATCGTGAACTGAGCCAAAATCAAGAGTCAGACACTTAGCCAACTGAGCCACCCAGGTGCATCTTGCAGTTATTTTTATATGGATCAATTGCTCTCTAAAAAGAATAAACCATTTTACAGTACCAACAGCAATGTATTTCTTCACAGCCTTGTCAACATTCATTATTATAAATTTTTAATTTTTTATGATTTTGTTATTGAAGAATACTTTACAGTCATATTGATTTGAATGTCTTTCACTGTTGTTGAGGTTGAATCCTTGTTGAGTTAGTGTTTGTGTTTTTTGTAAACGGTTGCTTCCTTTGGTCATTAGCTCATTCAGATATTCACCTTTCATCTGCATTTCAGTTGGTCTGATCCTGAGTCTGATACCATGAGAGATGTCTGCGTGTGAGGCGTGGTGCATCTTAGCTGAGGAGGGGCAGCTCCTAACACTGGAGGGGGCTTGTTGGACCACCTCTGGGTATCTTTAAATCACTCATTCATTCAACAGAAATGCACCAAGCCCTACTGTGTGGCAGGCCTGTGCTGGTTCTAGGAAAATGGCGGGGACTAAATAGCTCTGCCCTGCCCCTTGTGAGCAAACAGCCTTTATGGGGGTGACACCAAACAAGCAAGATGTGCAGAATATCTTCTCAGAACATAATTTTCTGTTGACCTGTGCTTCTGTTGACCTGTGCTAGTTTTGATTTAATGCAGGTTTTTAAAGAATGGTGATGTCCTTACACTTGCCTATCATGTCCTTGAAATGAGAGGTCACATGGAATCCCTTGCACCTCAGCAACTTGATCTTCATAGTGCACATGCTTGGTCCTTGGGGTAGAGCTGGAGGGAAGTTTTCCTCCTGGGCACCAGTGGGCCCACGCTCTGTAGGGAATCTGGGGCTTCCGAGAATTTAGCTTTCTTATGGAGGCTCACCTCACCTGACAGGAAGTTCTTTCCAGGACAGAACATCCAGTGGTTTGCAGATGGCCATGCCCCAGAAGACTCCACTAGCCCTTCCTCAGAGAGAAGGTAGGCATTCTCACCTGCACAGGTAGAGCCGTTCTGAGGCTTGGGGCCATGAGGAAGTGGACAACCCATGGTTGAGGGATTCCCCTTGCATCCTGCCCACAGCAATCTTGTGTTGCCCCCTCTCCTCACCCAGCATGGCACGGTGGCTGGGATGGTGGTGGGCAAGTGGTGGAACACCATAATGCTCTGTCCCCTCCATAGGGGTCCAGGCAGCTGCTGTGATGCCCACCCTGCCTAACCTGAAGAGTGGCTGCTTCGACCATCCTCTGCACCAGGGGCTCCTCCACCCCACCCGGCGCCGCAGCGGTCCCACCTCAGCTTCAACTTCCAAGTTGTCAAAGAGGCCCAAAGTGCATGCAGCTGGGGACATGTTCCCCACTGATTGGAGCCCACCACCCATAGAGTTCCTGAACCTGGGGGTACCACAGGCCATTAGGGGGGCCCCAGCACAGAAGAAGATGGGCCCAGGGGGGCCTCAGGGCCTGAGGACATGGGCTCACCAGCTGTCTGAGGAGTTAGACCAGGAGCCCCAGGACTCAGACCCCCGGGGGAGCCTGACCTCACTGGAGGAGCTGTTCTGGAACATGGCAGGCCCAAGCCAGAGGGCTATAGCTCCCATGGTGGACATCCACACCTCGGTAAGCCAATGGCCACCCTTTGGCCTCCTCTCCTTGCCACCCCCTCCTCATCACCGCTAGGCCACTCCCTCTCTGGCCATTCTTCCTTGACTGTATCCCAACTGCCTTTTGTCGGCCCCCTCCCCGTAACCATCCCTCCTCAACTGTGTACCCCGAACCTCTCCCAGCCTTTGGACCCTTGTGGCTGGGATATATCTCTCCCCTTATATCTGCTGCTAGCCCCTGCTAACAGATGGCTTGGGGTGGTGCCAAATTGGATACTACGGTTGGGGTTATCCCCCTGGGGAAAAGAGAGACCTCGGTCGGTGCCTGGGTCTGGGCTAGGCCAGTCACAAAGACTTGGGCTAACTCTAGTCAGTGGATTGACATGCCTAAATGAAAGATTTAGTGATGAACTTCAAGCTGGGTGGGAATAAATAGCAGTTTCTGGGTAGACTGTGGTGACACTTAGAGACCCCTAAGTTTAGAAAGTTTATTCTGAGAATAGGACTTAATTATTATAATAGCCCAAGATTGTCAGTAATCTGAATGCCCACCACCAGGGAATTAATACGTTATGTTCTAGTCCTACATTAGAAAGGTTGTTTTTTTTAACTTATATCTTTAGTATTGATATGGAATGACCCTCAAGACATACTGTTAATTAGGCAAACCATAAGAGACTCTTAAATACACAGAACAAACTGAGGGATGCTGGAGGGGAGGTGGTTGGAGGGATGGGCCAAATGGGTGATGGGCCTTCAGGAGGGCACTTGCTGGGATGAGTACTGGGTGTTATATGTAAGTCATGAACCTGCTGGGTCTACTTGTGAAACCAATACTACACTGTATATTAACTAACTTGAATTTGAATAATTTAAAAAAATACATCCTATTAATTAGACAGAGCAAAGTATAGAATAGGGTTCATAGCGTGCTGCCATTTGTGTTATGGGTGGGGGTGGGGGAGTCTATAATGTACTACTGTTTGCTTGTCTGTGGATAAAATGTCTCTGGAAGCGCACCAAGGAGCAAACACGTGTGGTCCTCTGTGAGGATGAACCTAGGTAGTTGGGGATGCAGGTGAGATGACACATCTTACCAGATGCCTTTATACCTCTCGATTTTTTAATCATGTGAATGTATTGTCTATTCAGAAAAGTAAACAAAATAAGGGGCTTGATTTAAATTAACTTTTATTCTCCCCCCCCCCCCCATCTGTTTATCTTTATGTTCGTCTCCCATTCTCCCCTCCTGTTTCTCTAGTTCACCTCTGGGGCCTCAGAGAGCTATGTCAATAGCTTAGATTACTTACTGCAGGAGAAGCGGTAAGTGTGGAAAGGGGTCCATCCTGGGATGTTCTTTCTGTGGGGTTGGCAGCAACTTGGGAGGCAGTTGTCCTCTAAGACTTCTAGCAAACTCACCTCAGGATGGAGCAGCCTGGAGCGCTCCTACACAGCATGCCTCCTGGAGTGTCCTGCGTGCTCTAATCAATAATAAGCACATGGAGCGGCAGTCAGGTCACAGGGGGCCATCTTGAAGGCAGAGAGTCCCAGACCTCTGCCACATCCAGACGCCTTGTTCAGGGTTGCTGTGGGCAGGATGCGGGTAAAATCCCTTGCTCTCTTCTGCCCTGTTCATGCCCATGTGGCAGCCTCTCAGCTCCCACTTAAGGGTTCCATGGTGAGAGGGGGAAAGGCAGGCAGCTTTGACAGAGATGTACAGCCTAACTATTGCCATGATGGTGATGCGGGCAAGCAAAGCTCATCAGGGCACCTGGCTCTGGGAGGTTCTCGCTCTGTTGGGTCCTATGCCAGGTGCCTGATAGATGGAGGTGATTGTGTAGGCCCCTCTACCTGGAGATCTAACTGAATGCTTCTAGATCTCCCATGCTGGAAAGTTGCTGTGGAGGGGCCTGGAATACTGGCACCTCATTTAACCTGGGGGTCAGAAAAGGCTCCCCACAGGTATCCTTGTCTCTGAACCTTGGAGGATAAGATTTGGGGGGGGCAGCATGAGTGACCACACATATGAAGGTGGATACGACAGATAATTCTGTTGGCAGACTAGAAGTGGAATTCTCAGCGCTGGAGAGTGGGGGTTGGGGGTCCACATAGCAGGAGGTGCGGCCAAGATGTGAACCAGGGCTGGGTCACAAGAAGCCTCACGAACACAAGGTTGAGTTGGAAGAACTTTAAGGAGCTAGTGATGTGATTCCTGCTGTGTTTCAGAGATGACTCAGGCTGCATTATGGAGAACGGATGGGAAGGGTGAGAGAGGAAGGAGGGTAAACAGTGATGGTGTGGGGTCCTGGGAGGAGGGTGGCAGGGCTATGATGCATCTGCTGACGTGGGTGATGGCTGGGACTTTGGGACCTGTGTGGAAGGGAATTCAGACCCAGACATGTGGGTTCAGAGGGCCTCGGGCACATTCAGCTGGAAATCATCCAATTGTGGCTGGCTAGGAGGATCCGAACTCCAGACAGTGGCCTAGGCTGAAGATGAAGTCGTTAGGACCTGAGGACCTTTAGGTAAATCCAGGGTGAGCACCTGGAGGGGAGGACAAGGACTGGGGTGGTTCCCTGACTGTTGAGGGAGCAAGGATCGAGAAGGCCAAAGGATGTACTCTGCCTGCTTGGGGGTTTGGTGGGGTTAGGGCAGGAGGGAGAGGAGGGAGTCATGTGTCTAGCAAGAAAACGGTGGGCATGCAGGCCGTGGTGGGGACCCACCTCTGGGGCTAGAGGCCACAGGGTAGGGAGAGGAAGGGAATGAGCAGGACCTGGAGGGCTGCCCTTGGGGCCAGAGAGGCAGGCCATGTATCAGGGGCTCCAGGGGCCATGAGCCTGGGGACCTCTCCAGGTCAGTGTGGCCAGACCCCAGGAGGAGGAGAAGGGGCTAGGCATAGGCGTTGATGTGTTAGAAAGTGGGAAAATCCAAAACAAGGCACACAAACAAAGGCATATTTGAATCTGTGTGGTGAAAATTTTCCTTGAGGCCTGTCTGCTCTCGTCTACTTTTTCAGAGAGCGTGCAGTGGATTCAATGTGATGCCTCTCCCCCGCCCCATCCAAATTTACGGTTGAAGGCCTTTATGCAGGAGTCTAGGGCCATGGCCCCCATTCCTAGGCCTAGCCCAGTGTCAGGGTTGGATGATTGGGGACAGCCCTGACCTCTGTTGTTGACTGTCCTCTCCCTGCAGGAAACAGGCCCTGGAGCAGGAGCGAGAGAAGCTGCTTCTGCATGCCTGTCCTGGCCTCCACTCCCCGGATCTGGATGAAGATGAGGTGTCTCTCACACCTGAGCACAGGTGGGGGGCAGTGGGCACAGGAAGGGGCAAGGGCCTGTCCACTCTTGAGGGGGGAGTCCCTGCACCCACCTCTCAAGACAGAGGATTTAAGTGTCAGCTGGCTCTAGGTTTTAGACAGAGTTTACTAGCAATTTGTATACGTTTATGAGTTATCAAGTTACTTCCTTTTATTAAACGTACATAAAAAATAACAAAAAATCCTACATTCGTTCATTGATTAGAGAAATATTTGATCACCTACTGTGTGTCAACATCCAGTGCAGCCTTTGAGGACACCGGAGGTATAAAAATTTGGCCTGCTTTGCCCCAGTTGTCTGCTCAAATTTATAGAACCAGATCTCTTGGGAAAATGACTGCACAAAACCACAGTCTAAGAGAAAACTATCTTTAAAGGGGAGAATACAGCCATATGACATTTTTCATCTTCCCCCGTCTGGGGAAAAGAAAGTGGGTTTTGTTAGTTCTGTCATGTGGACGGGGGTCTGCTGGCTGTAATTTAACTGGACCATTGGCTGGGGGTGGACTGGTGTCATCTGTACCACTTTGTCTCAGAAATGCTGAGGGACCGCAGTTGAATCTGTCTTCGGGGTCCCCTGTTAGCCACCCATCTATCCACCTGTCCAGTCAGCCAGCCAGCAAACATCTACTGAGTGCCAGCTTTGTACCAGGCTCTGCCACAGACCCTTGGGATTCGGCAAAAACAAAACCAGACAGAAATCTCTGCCCTCCTGAGTGAAGATAGGTGACGAGAGCTTAGGAGAAAGGAGAAAGAGAGGGGGCGTGAGGAGTGTGGAACGTTTGAGATTGTGCTTGAGGGTAAGGGAAGCCCTCAGTGAGCAGCTGGCTGGCTTCTGGCAGAGCCCTGTGAAGGAGGGGAGAAGTAGCTCAGGGAGGCCGGCAGGGGGAGCTTACCTGCAGCCTTGGAGGGGAGGGTGGGAGAGAGGAGATCAAGGAGAATAAGGGTGGGCTTGACGTCTGAGCTTCTCCCCTGTGGAGCTGGCAGGCACTGCTCCAAACAGGATCCTCTTCCTCTGTGTCAAGAATAGACTGGGGAGCATGGGGGTGGGAGGTGACGAGGGCAGAAGAAGGAAGACAGTCAAATGAGCGTGGCAGTAATCTTGAGGTGGGGGATGTATGTGAAGATTAGGCAAATTCTGGATATATTCTTAGGGTAGAACCGAGAAGATTTGTTGGCAAACTGGATGGAGGGCATTGGAGAAAGAGGGGAGTTGAAGGGAGGCCCTGGGATTTGGGCCTGAACAACTGGAAGTTTGGAGTTGTCTAATTAAATTGGGGAAGACTAAGTGACAAAGTCTGGGGTGGGGGCAGTTGTGGGATCAGGAGTTCTTTTGGGAGATCCCAGGGGTGAGATGAGGGAGACAGCCTGGATACCCTAGTCTGGAGAGGCAAGCTTGGGAGGTACCATGTGTAAGTGATGTTTAAAGCCACAGACTAGACGAGATCACCTGGGGAGCAAGTGTAGAGAGAGAAGAACAGGGGCCCAAGGGCACAGCGTAGACGTCTTGGTGACCTTGACAAAAGCAGCTCTGGTGGGATGCTGGGGATGAACCTAAATGGAATAGACCCACAGGAGAACAGGAGGAGAGGTAGGAAGAGAAAAATGCACAGTAGCTGAAGGGGAAAGTAGAGTCAGAATAGATCTTTCTGTGCGTCTTCCTTTTACTTGGTTCCTCTCTCCTTCCATCCCTCCCTCCCATGCTTCCTTCCTTCCACCTCTCCCTCCCTCCTTTCTTCCTCCCTCTCTCCTTTCCTCAGGAACCCAGTGTCCAGGAGGGGCTGGGGTGGAGACTGCAGGGGATGAGGTCGCCTCATGTGCCCATGTGGCTGTGGGCAGATTGGTCACCATGCCCTGGACCATCTGCCTATTCACCCTTTGCTTTTTCTGCCAGCTCAGTTATGTTATTAACCATTGGTCTGAGTACTGATAGGCCAAGTTTTCATGCATATTCTTTTTTTAAAAATTTTTAATGTTTATTTTTGAGAGAGAGAGAGACAGAGTATGGGCAGGGGAGGAGCACAGAGAGAGGGAGACACAGAATCCGAAGCAGGCTCCAGGCTCTGAGCTATCAGCACAGAGCCTGACCCGGGGCTTGAACCCACACACTGTGATATCATGACCTGAGCCAAAGTCAGACACCCAACTGGCTGAGCCACCCAGGCACCCCTCCCCAAGCATATCCTTAAGTTAGCATTCTGCCTCCACTTACTAAGGGAATGTTGAGTGATGACATACAGACTTCTTTGGGGCCTCTGTTTTAGGATCTCCAAATGGTTTATGTTGCTTTTGTTGCCCAGACACGGTTATGAGCAATGCCTTGTCTGGCTGTTTGCTTTTTTCTTCCCCCTCAAGTTTTTCTGATAGTCATCTCTGGGCTAGACCAGGGATCAGCAAACTCTCTGTGTTTGTAAATAGTAAATATTTTAGGCTTTGAGGGCCTTTCAGCCTCTGTTGCAAGCGCTCAACTCTGCTGTTGCAACAGGGAAGCTCCCCTAGACAATGCATAAATGAATAAACATGCCTGTGTTGCAGTAAAACCATGTTTACAGAAATGGGCAGGAGTTGGCTGCAGACTGTAGTTTGCTGAACCCCGGCCTTGACTGGGAGGACCCCAGCCTCCTAACTTTTACTTTCCACTGTGAAAATCTGTGAGTGTTCAGATTTGAACAGCCATCCCAGATAGTTAGACAGCTACTCATAGGCTACCTAGAGACCCAGAGAAAGGATGCTGTGCAAGTCACATGGTGAAACCAGAAGGGCAGGTGTGGTGGAGTGTGGAGACTGAAGGGAGCCACAGCATTTGGGCTAAGGGCCTCTTTGGACAGGAGTGCCTTGGTGGCAACATAAGTGATAAATACAATGGTCTAAGTTGGGACTCGTGGATTTGTTCCCAGATTTCCTAGTCAATGGATAGATAGCCTTGGAATGAAACCTTTGAAACCCTCTTTAAAAATCTCTGTAGCAAGAATAACTATTCTCGTACTTCACCTTTCTAGTGGGTGCTTCCAGGATTCTGGAAGTTGTGGCTTGGATGTTTTGATATTCCCCACGGAAGGGAGTTATCTGGGGAGCTGGCTTAAGCCAGGTGTTCCAGTCTTTGAAATCGCTGATCATGTTCTGAGCACATGACATTTTCAAGTACTGCTTTGAGAAAGCCTTTTTGACAACAGCCACTTTGAGGTGGTTGTTTTGATGTGGGATCATTTTTGATGGGACACTTCAACATTCTGCTTCAGAGAAAATTACTCACTGATAGACAAAGCTAGCAGCCTCTCCCATCCATGAATGGGGCCAAGAAGAGATGTGGGTCTGGAAGGGGTGAGGCTGGGGCTGGGGGCCAGCCACCATCTGCCAGAACAGTTGTCTGTGACCAGGAGTCACATGGCTGCCACAGATGCCCGTTGTAGAAGAGACCCCCACAAGCCTCCAGAGCCAGAACATCCTCTCACGCTCTAAGGATTGGCTTGCATCTTGAATGGATGCCATCTTACGGTCTCTGTTTCTTAAAGTTAAAAGACTTTAATGTGTGTGGGGAGGGGGAGGAGGGAATATTTGAACCACAGCATCATCCTTTATCCTCACTTTGGGCCTGCACAGGAAATCCCCAATTAGACACGTAAGAGTCATCTCAGAATTCTTAATAATGCACATACATTATATTTAGTATCACAAGAGTCCCTTTGTGTGATGGTTTGGGGGACAAGGCTAAGACCCTTTTACAGATGAGCCTAATTCCTATAGATTTATAACAACTTGTACGTTTTTTAAAATACAAAACCAACATAAGCCCTAGATACTCAAAAACTTAAATGGCAAAGAAATTAACAAAACAGGAGATCATTTTACCATTTGTGTGGTGGTTTGCAGAGGCTGCTTGCAAAAGGCTACAGGATCAGAATCTCCCTGGTATTTTCATCTCATTTCCAAGCATTATGTCACTTCATCCTCAGGACGACCTTATGAGGTGCGTCAGCACCTTTTCTTGGGTCACTTGGCCAGAAAGTGAGACAGATTTCGTCGGGCAAGTGGTGGACTTCCAGCTTCGCTGCTCCCCCTCCGGGGCCAGCTGCTCGTGTCCCAGACCCTAACAGGAGCCCCGAGTGCTGTTCCCCCTCCATGTTCACTGTGTCAGGGCTCAGGCCATCCTCCAGTAAGAGGACGGGATGCAGCGCTTGTAGCTTGTTTGATTTTGCTGCTGTTGTTGTTAAATGTGTGTTATATGTCGGTTACATCTCTACAAAAATCAAGCAGAACACAGTTGTATGAAATAAACAGGAGATGTCTCCTCTTCCCCTCCCCCCAATCCTGTTCCCTAGGGATGACTCCAGCTCATATTTGGGTGTGTCAGATATATGTGGGTTTTTGCATGTGTCTAAGAATGTGTGTGTGCGTACATATGTCTGTGTGTATACCTATGCACACGCACAGACACACTTCCTATTCTGAAATTTGCTGTTTTCATCCACCAATGCACTGTGGCCAGTCCTTCATGGTACAGAGATTTACTTTGTTCTTAGGAATTGCCTTAACTGCCTCCCTTTCCCCCATTGCCTCTTAAATGGTTTGTTACATCCTGACAATTTTTATCCTTCCCTATAGAGTTGGAATGTGTCCCCTCTTCTCTCTGTTACTTCCCTGTCCGTGGGACCCAGCTCTGTTCTACTACGCAGAAGCACGAGGCAGGGCAGGGGCTGGGAGTCTGTATTTAAAAAAGAATTTTTTTTATAGTTTATTTATTTTTGAGACAGAGACAGAGCATGAGCGGGGGAGGGGCAGAGAGAGAGGAAGACACAGAATCTGAAACAGGCTCCAGGCTCTGAGCTGTCAGCACAGAGCCTGATGCGGGGCTCAAACCCATGAACCATGAGATCTGACCTGAGCTGAAGTCGGATGCTTAACCAACTGAGCCACCCAGGTGCCCCTGGGAGTCTGTATTTTAAGCAGACCTTCCTGGGGAGTCCTGATCATAAGAGCCTGAGGACTGGTGCCCCAGCAGAGGAGTCCAGGCTCCTTCATTGTGCGGATGCCCTCCCTGACCCTGACTGCACCCAGAGCTTCTCTTCTCTGCCCCTGGCAGCACCGTATGGGCAGCTCTGTGGCTGGCCTACTTGCTGATGGCTATTGTGGTGATTCTGTTTACCCTTCTCTTAGGCGTGCAGTGGCAGCCCTTGCCTGACTCATCCTTTTGCACGTGGCACCCACGTATTGTGGGCACTCAGTGAAAGTTTGAGCTGAACAAAGCCAATGGGCGGTACTGGGTTTGGGACCAGGACTTGTGGCTCCTGGACTAAGGCCCCAAGGAAGGGATTGGGGTGCACGACAGAGAGTGGGATGGCGAAGAGTTCCTTTGTCTGCATCTCATAGGCTCCTTCTTTATCAGCAGGTGGCGCTGTCTCCCCCCCAGTCTTATTCCCCACCAGGTCCTAGCTATGGGGCAGGGGCACCCACAGGCCTTCCCCTGCCTCACTTCATGCTGCAGAGGAGAGGTAGGTGCGCCTCCTGACCCTGGGCTCTCTGGCTCCTTGCTTTGGCAGGATGCTGGTGGAGAGGTTCTCCATGAAACTACAGGTCATCCCACCAGTACATCCCGGTGAGACTGTGTTTCTACCCAGGCGTCACCCCCTGCATTGCATCCTGGACTGTTCACACCTGAAGCCACGTAGCCATCTGGAAGGGCTCTTCCTCAGGTAAATGTCGGCATGGCATGGCCAGGCCTTCTCCCTCATGGAGCCCAGTGTTAAGGACTGCCCCAAAGGAGGAAATTCAAAGCTGTGTTTTAGCCGATTTGGATGTGTCCATTTTCAGGGATATAGATGAAACGGTCACACATGTCTACTTATAATATTTAATTTACTGATTTAAATGCACATACCTTGAAAAGGCCCATATTATAGCAAATACTAGGTCAGTTGTCTATTTCCGTATTCATATTGGTTTTTTCTCCCCCACACCCCAGTTTTGTGGAACAGCTTTAGTCAGACTCACCATACATGCCTTTGGGGTTATGTCTCCATCAACACTAGAGCCACTTTCTGGGCCATCCAGCAGTTTTCCAGAGCATGTCATCGTCACTTCCATCTGCTCATTGGAGACACGACCCTTCAGTCAGTGTGCAGTGCTGACCGTGAAAAGTCTGTCCCGGCCGTAAGTGCACGCTGTGTTAACATTGGACGGCTGCCCTGTTGCTCTCCTCTGTGGAAGGAAATTTATGTTCATTTTCACACAGATGCTGACTATGTTGCTTTTTAAGGGAATTTTAAAACTTTGCCACAGTGACACCCAGCACTTGCAGTTGTGAGTTCATATTTCTAAAAATAAGAGTGAAAGCCCACGGGACTCAGTCCGGTGGCTGTCCACTCGTGCTCGTGCGGCCAGCGCCCTGCTGGGCTCTGGTGGCCAAGGGGATGGAGAGGAAGCCACAGGACCCATACCAGCTGGCAGGGAGCACAGAGCTTGAACTATCCCTGTGGTGTCTTGGAAGCAGGAGTTTTGTTGTCTTTTCCAGCTATTTAGCATTTTTCTATGTCTATTTCATTAATTCTAAACCCATCTGATTTCATGATAGAAAGGTAACAACATTTTGATGTCTTTCCTTTAAAACTTTTTATCACAGGAAGTTTCAAGCTTTACATAATTTATGTAGAGAGAACAGTATAATAATTCTCCATATACTCATCACTCAGCTTCCAAAAATCAACTCAAAACCAGTCTTGTGCCATCTCCACCAGTGCCCACTGACATTGTCCCCTGAAGAATTTTTCTAGAGAAAGAACATGAGTGAGCAGGGGAGGAGAAGAGGGACAGGAAGAGAGAATCGCAAGCAGGCTCCACACTCAGCGTAGAGCCCAATGCAGGGTTCCATCCCCCAAGCCTGGGACTGTGACCTGAGGCAAAACCAAGAGTCGCAGGTTTAAAGCTGAGCCACCAGGGTGCCCTATCCCCTCAGGATTATTTTTAAGCAGATTCCAGGCACATATACTTTAATCTGTAAGTATTTCACTTTGTGTCTCTAAAAGATAAAACTCTACCTTTATTTTTTTAGGATTCCCTTTAGGTATAGCTTAAATGCCATTATTACACCAAAAAAATAGAAATTCTTCATACCGTTAATATTAGCTGGTGTTCAGAATTCCTCGATTGTCTTCTAAGTATATATTATATGGTATTCAAACAAGGCCAAATTTCTCAAATAGTCGTAACGTGAACAATGAAATAATATTGCATGGCATTGATGCCCCAACATATTTAAGCATTTTCTTCCTTTTTCTCAACATACATGTTACTTCCAACCTTTCTATAAGCAGTGTGGTGGAGAACATCTTTATATACAAATAACTATCTGGCATGTAGCCCCGGATGTGCTGTGAGGCGATCAGACCTGCATGTCTGAATGTTGGTAACGGCTGACATCGCCATGTGTCTAATAAAGGGGGTGATGAAAAGGGAAAACAAGAAACAGGGGTGACAGGAAAAGAAGGGTAGTGGCTCTGGAGAAAGGAGAGGACCCGAGAATGGCCTGGAAAGAACGGGGGAGAGGAAGGCGTCTCGCAGAGCTGCCTCAGCCAGCCGTGGTCTGTGCAGACAGCATGTTTCCTGTCCCAGACTGGACTGCCAGCAGGAAGTGTTTTGACAGACGAGATGGCCCATGCAGTGGTGACACAGGAGCCCGGCAGCCCTGCCAAATGGGGCCAGGTGGCCGGCCAGCCTCCCTGGAACGAGGAATTCAGACCCTCCTTCCTCAAGTATGCTAATGAAGCACCATAGAGCTGGCTTTGCCAGCCCCTGGAGCCGAGAGCCCTTCTGGAGGAATGCCCTCCCCGCCTCACACACGGTCAGGTCAGGGGGTCCCTGCTGTGCAGTGGGTAAGGGCCACTTCCTGAAGGTCACCATTTAGCCTTGGGGTCATCTTTTACTTCCTGCTTGTGCCAAGGACTTAAACCCAGACACAAGAGAGGGAAACAGTGGTTCAATAATTACCCCACTGTGCTCAGCCGGAAACACAAAAATGGAGGAAGAATAAAAGGTTACTTGATCTCTCAAGAGGCAAAATGGTTTGATTTTTTGCCATTCAAAAAGCTAACACTCTTGTGAGATTACAGGTAACTTTTATTTTCCTTACATTCCTCTGTATTTTATGAACTTTCTAAATGAACACATCTTGTTTTTAATATGAGAGGTTTTAGGGCAAAAAGTGAATGCGACTTTTAAAAACCACTTCTTGAAATAGATCCATGTCTCTTTACTCTTCTGTGAAGAGGGATATCGTCTTCCTTCCCACTGTACAAAGTGGGGAATCTTGGCACAGATTGCCGGGCAAGTGTGGGCAGCCTCAGCATCCGGGCTCCAGGCCTTTCTCCCGGGCTGCACCTATACAGGTTTATGTGCAAGAACACATCTCCTGGAGCCCATGGCCCCGGGATTGGAGATGGCCTGGATGACCCTCGTCATCACTCAGCTGGGTGTATGACCTCAGGTCAGTTCCCTGGAACCAAAGTCACACGCCTTTATGACAGAAGTTGGTACCAGGGACTGAACCTTCCCCTCCCTTGACAGCAGTTCAACAGGAAATCTGATACACCCGCCGACCACCACCACCAAGTAGAGAAACATTGGGACCTATGCCCACATGCAACTCAGGGGCAAACTCCGTAGGAAGGGTGGAGATTGCCTGCTGAATTATTCATGGTCCTCCCTGGGCCCCCACAGAGTGCACTACACTTGTCCTCAGAGTGTCCGCCATTATTCCTGTGAGGTGTTCACAGTGTGTCCTTAGGGAACCCTTCCTCCATGAACACTTCTGCAGGCAGGAGGAGGTGGGCAGGTGTGAGCCGTGTGGATGTAAATGTGCTTGTGCAGGGGATCTCCCTGAGGCCTGTGGTCCCAGCTCTTGTTTTGCCAGGACCTCTTCTACTTCGTGGAGATGGCAGCAAGCCTGGTCCAAGGACCTGGGAGGTGGAGGAAGGGGTGGGTCCTTGCAGAACCAGCCAAGATGGTCCTTGGCCTTCACGCAGGGTGGAAATCAAACATGAGCCAGAAGCTGAAAGTAGAGTTTATTGAAGATAGATAGGGTCAGAGCAATCAGAAGATTGGGAAAGGAAAAGAGCAGGAGTCTCGTCTTTGTTTGGGGTCTAGGGTTTTTATTGAGGATGGTGGTCTGATATATGTGTCTTCTCAGACATCCAGGAACCAGTTAGAACAAAGATGAGGGCCCAGGTGTTATTCCTCGGAGCCAGCGGATTTGGCTTGGAGATGTCTAGCTCTGGTGGTCTGAAATATGCATATGATAGGGGCGCCTGGGTGGCTTAGTCGGTTAAGCGTCCGACTTTCGCTTAGGTCATGATCTCGCGGTTCGTGGGTTCGAGCCCTGCGTCGGGCTCTGTGCTGACTGCCAGCTCTGAGCCTGGAGCCTGTTTCAGTCTGTGACTCCCTCTCTCTCTGACCCTCCCCTGCTCACGCTGTCTCTCTCTCTCTCTCTCTCTCCTAGAAATAAATAAAAAAAACATTAAAAAAAATTTTTTAAAAATATGCATATGATAGCTTTCTTGGTTCTCACTTGGTCCTTCCTTAGGTGTTGTTTATTCTTGGGAATCATTAACTCCTTGTCCCTTACAAGGAGGACATAGGCGATTTGCATTACAAGGCATGTGTTAAGTGAGGTGGGCGTGCAGGTCCTAGCAAGGATAGAAACCGGAAAGGAAGCAAAGGAAAAAAAACAGCTTTTTTTCTCATGGGAGTCCCTTCGGTTTCCCTGTCTCACTGGCATGCTAGGGTTGTAGCCTGGGTGAAATAAATCCAGCAGTTACAGAGTGTGGACAGAGCCGAGCTGCCCAACTGGCTCCAGCTGCCCCCAAAAATAAAGAGCCATCAGAAGCAGCCGGCTGGGTCGTTGCTGGGATCCCTGGACTTCTGCCTTCGAAGGGTGCTCACTCATGTTTAAACAAAGGAAAGAAAGAAAAAGAGGGGGAGCAGGGATGAAGGCTCTATTACTCCTTTCTGTTCTCCTGAGGCATTTGACTTCAACTTGCATTTGAGGAACTTGGCAAAGATACAGAAACTGATACTGTATAAATAACTACACTTGGTGCTTATCCCTCTGCCATCAGTTGGGATTCCCAACGCGTTTAGATCCTTTGCCCTACAGGACTACTGCCCCCAAAATGGATGAAGATACAGAGTCATTATCAGAAACACACAGTGCAAGTAGAAGGTCACAACTCTGCCTCAGGAGCCCAACATGCTGACCCAAGCTGGTCTTTTGTGTGATTCCCCTTTTGGGTTAATCCCCTCTCATCAATTTCCACTGCCCCCTCCTTACTTCCTTCTGTTCCTATGCCTTGCCATAGGTGGCTGGACAGTATTCTGATGGTGGCTGCTTCTAATCCCAGATGGGAACCTGTCACTGGGATCCTCAGAGTTGACAGCTGGGGCCTCTTGCCCAGCCAGGCCTGCTTGGCATGTGCTGCCTGGGAGGCCCTGTCCCTCCCCCTCTCACTCCTGGGTCCTCTGACATTCTCAGGATAACTTCTGACTTAGCATTGGCTTTGCAGCAGGCAAAGGCACCCAGTTCGACCCAGGGTCAGCATTCTAGGCTTGTGGACGTGAAGTGGGTTTTTGCAAACAAACAGTGGATTCTGTAACCCAAGAGTTTTGAGCTTTAGGCACACATACCTAATTTCCCCACCCTTTTCCTCCAGGCTCCCCCTCTGGGCACAGATCTCTGATCCAGGGCAGTGTCTGCACAAATCAGCCTTATCCCTTCCTTTGAAGGGAGAGGGCTCATAATTTCAGCAAGGTGAAGCAGTACTGCCCTCACAGAGCACAGACCGAGCATGCATACACTAGGCTTGGGATCCAGCCTACAGAGGAGATTCCTTGCATCTCACATAGCTCTAAGCACAGAATTCCTTGAAAGCCATTCCTTTCAAGGCACAGCTGGACCATGCCCTTTCTGCCTATCTCTTGCTTCTTGTCTTACAGCCTAAACCTAACTGGGCCACAGTGAACTGGAAGGCAGACTGACTGATCTTTTCTCTGGCAGATCCTGGGCTGCTGCAAGGCTGGCAGAGCCGAAAAAGGAGACATTGTAACCGAAGGGTATCTCTCCCTGGGAGCAGCAGTTGGAAATGTGTTGATCTGAGCCAACAGGGGCTTGTACAGTCAATTCCCCTACTGAGAAACTGGTGGGGTGCTCCCTGAGCAGAATGCCAGAGCCAGAGTCTCCTTAGAGTTCCGGAGCACCAGCCTCCTTGCCACATGGCTCCTGGCCAGGACCTGCCAATCTGTGAGGTCTTCCAGGCATTGTTCACTTGGTTATTGTCTGTATTCGGGGTGCTGGGCTTGAACCATGCGTGCATTGCGGGGTCAGCCCATGAAAGTGTCCGTGTGACCGAGCACGTGAATTAGAGCGGAGTATGCCAGCAGCCCTGGGGTGCACACGTGTTCATATGTACAAATAAAGGTCTATTTCGGAGCGGTCAGCTTCACAGACATAGGAACAAAGCCGCTTTCTCCTCTGAACTTAAATAATTTGGGGAAAAAAATATACAGTTTGTAAATTGCCTGGATATACTCAAAGAGACAGCAACTTGGCTCAGAGGAGAATCTTACTTTTGGAGCATTCTGTTCCTGGCAGATTAAAATATGTTCTTTTTAAAAAGGAGAAGGTTGGACTGACCAACGAAATTTCTATCTAGAGTCATGACTTTCAATGCTATCTGAAATGTTCTTTGCCTGGATCTGGCCATTAAAAAGGAGAACAGGGGCTCCTGAGTGGCTCAGTCAGTTAAGCGGCTGACTTCAGCTCAGGTCATGATCTCGCAGTTCATGGGTTTAAGCCTCACATCGGGCTCTGTGCTGACAGCTCGGAGCCTGGAGCCACCTTCGTATTCTGTATCTCCCTCTCTCTCTGCCCCTCCCCTGTTCGCACTCTGCCTCTCCCTCAAAATAAATAAACATTTAAAAAATTAAAAAAAAAAAAGAACAGACATGAAGTTACTTTTTCATTTCCTAGAATCCATACTCCTTGCCTTTGGGACATCACCTAGAATAAGAGAGCAAAAGAACATTCACAAAATGCAGAGAGTAAGAGAACCCTACCCCAAACCCAGCCTCCCTGGGGGTACCCAGGAAGGGTGGTGAAGTCCAGCCAGCCCCTCTGAAGTGACTCCAAAAGCACCTTCCCACAGAGGCCCTGCGACCACATGAAATAGTTCAAGTTGTTTTACAGGGACCTGGGGTCCTGTTTATCTGGATGGTCTACCAGGGCCACAGAGTATTCCAAGCTAGGCTCCTCTCCATGCTGGTGGATTGATTTCTGACAGCTCCCTGTAGCCCATCAGGGGCCTGTTGTGAGAGGAGACCCAGGGTATGGGCACCAGCATGAGGCATGTCTGAGTGCCACCCCCCACCCCCTAACTCTGCTCCTCGCTCACATGGTTCCTGAAGAATCCTCTGTGACACCCTTGTTTGTTATTTCCTTCCCAGAACGTCTCCGTCTTGGGCCCCTTTCTGTTATTTTCCCATCTTCTCAGGTGTCCTTTGTTTCGGAAAAACACAAGACGGGGCAGAAATGCTCTGTGTAACCAGATCCTAGATGCTGGCCCCACGTGGGCCCTGAGGGTAATTCTGTCTGCCCACTGCAGCCCGGGCCCTTGGCTAAGAGGTGACCCCTGGGTTCTCTCCTCATCTCCACACAGAGCCTCTTTGTAACCTTGGTAAATACCTCAGTTTTCCCCTCCATTAAATGGAAAGGACAAAACGCACCATCCAATCAAGTGTTTAAAACACTGAGAGGTGTTCATGGAGAGCAAATGATTCTGGTGATGGCTTGGATTGTTTTTCCTTCTGACAGTTCCTAGCATCAAGGGCTCTAAGTGTTTTTGTCCACAGCAGTTACTGATGTGATTCTGGCACCTGGTGAAGCTGAAATACGGAAATGTGGAAATCCCCCGCAGCTTTAGTGAGACGGGCGTGTGGAGGGGGGCCACGAGGCCGGCTGCGTGGAGCCCTCCCCTAACCTCATTCCTCTGCCTCCGCAGCTGCCCGCTGGCCCAGCAGCTCTCCTTCCTGCGCAGCGGCCTCCTGAGCAACCTCTACCTGCACACCCCGGACTGCCCTGTGCCCCTGCTCCAGTGGCTCTTCCAGGTGAGGAGCACAGACCTGCCACTAGGTGGCGGGAGCATGCTGGCTGAGCAGCCTAGGCAGGGTTGCCGAGGGGAGGATGGGCACTTCCCTGCCGGGAGGAGGTGGGAGGGCTGTGGTCACAGTCATCACAGAGTTCAGGGACCAGCCTGTGGTCTCACTCCACTCCCCCGCCCCAGAGCGTGGGCCCCACTGGGTGCTGCCTGAGCCACCAGAAGCCCTCTCTGTGACTGCTTGCTACTCTGCGGGTGCTTCCATTGTGTCCAAGCTCCTCTGTGCTCCCAAGTCACAGGTCCCAGTGCCTGTCTCACAGGTAGCCCTGCAGTGCCTGTGGAGGTGTGAGGGCCATCGTGAATTTACAGCTGGGTGCGCCCCGGTGTTTGAACATTTGGCTCTCTCTGTGTTGTTGTAGGGTTTCTGGAGGAGTCTGGAGCAGTTGCTCTGTCTTCCCCCTTTCTTCCTTTCTCCTTGCTGCCAGAACATTTTGCCTTGGGGGGACCCTGCATTCTGCCCCGGGCTTGAAACCTTTGCCCTGAGAAAGAAAGACAGAACCCAGCAGGGCTAGCCCTGGAACCAGCTGCTGTCATCTGAATGCAAGGCATGAGCATTCACTCAGCACCATCCCTGCCTGGGGACGGGCAGGTCACAACTTCCAGCTGGTCTCGTTCCTGCCAGTTGGGGCCTGGACCCCAGCTGTAAATTAGAGCCACCATGCTGGGTGGATTGTTCTAGGATCTCCTCGGCCTGGGCAGACTGGCTGTCTTCCAGAAAAGGCCCTCCTGCTCTCTCCTCTTCCTCTGGGATCCTTTCCACCTCCCCTGCCTGCCCCAGAGGAAAAAGACACCCTCAGCTCCTGGGGCCCTAGTGTGTGGCTGTTGCCCTTGCCCCTCCCCCAGGCCCAATGGGGACTGGCTGGCCAGTAACCGGGAACAGTGTGGTCATTATTCTCTGCCCCTTGTCAGTACAGTTTCTCTTTGCTCCTTGCACAGTATATGACAGAATGCACAATCAGGCATTGGGAAGCACAAAGAACCCATCTGAGAAGTCGCCCACAGAGGGTCCTTGTGTCACCCCGACACAGCATGGGGTGCCTTCAGCCCCATGTCAGTCAGCCTGGAGCAGTGGGCGAGCCCTGCCCTGTCTCTTCTCCCACCTGGTCACCGCAGCAGGGGCCCATAGACCAGAGGACCCAGCCTGAGGCCAGACACTAGCTGTGAGTTCCAGCTCTGCCACTACTACTCTGTGACCTTGAACGAGTTATTTAATGTCAGCTCTATGCCTCAATTTCTTACTCTGGAAGCAGGGACTGATTGTCCCATGTGAAGATTAAAGGAGGAATTCCTGTGACTTGCCTTGTCCTTATGGTCCCACCACAGCTCTGCCCAAGGCCTGGACGTCATTTGGAAGGGATGATGTTAGCTCAGAGGTTCTTGTTCTCCATCTTCAGGAAGGAGAAAGAAAAGCTCCCCCTCCCCCAGTGGCTTTAAGCTCAATAAGTGAAAGGGGTGCACTTGGCCTTGGGAGCCTTCTGGGTGAGACTCTGCCCAACATCTTTGTCTCTGGAGGGAGAAGGAGGAGCAAGGAGGAGCAGGGCAGCTGACGTCTGCCAAGCACAGTGACCATGTGACTACTCATGTGGCCACACTACGGGCCTTAGCATGAAGGACTCTGATATTTCACTTTGGAGGGTTTTTCTTTGTTTTTCTTTCCACTTGGAACGTATTTTCTTCTAACAACAAGTAGCATTCATATATTCGTTCACATCCAGGCATGAGTCGAGTACCTGCTACATAGTAAGCTCTAGAGATAGAAGGATCTTGGAAATGGTGTCCCAGGTAAATCCTCAGAATGTAGCTGTGGTTGGTGCTCAGTGTACTTCAGAACTTCACATTGTTAGTGGGGAGTATGGTTGCGAGAAGGCAGAGATCCATGGGGACTCCCTGGAGCTGCTAGTGGGATTCTCCTAAAGGTGCAGGGGTGGTTCACGGGATCCAAGGGTGGGGACTCGGGACTCAGGAAAAGCTGGAACCTGGATGGGGAAGACTTGGTATCCTAGGACAGGCCTTAGTTTCTCAATATTTCCCAGGCTCCATGACCAAGTAAATTCCCAGGAAGGAGAGTCTTACTGGCCCAACAAGGGTTAAGTGACAACTCTCTCCCACCCCCCAAGTCCAGTCCAAAGCAGCTAGATGAGTAGGGTCACAGGACTGCTGGGGGCCCATGTGTATACCTGGGGTTCTGAGAGCGAGGGAATGGGTGAGCTAGCCAGATTTCTCCAACCTTGCTCATTCAACTGTTTTTTTGAGGGGAAGGATGTACTGAGTTCCGTGGAGACTAGGTCCCACCCCTGCCATCCTCCCTCCTCCCAGTGGAGTGTGCGATGGAGCTGGATGGATGGGCTTTGGCCTTAGTGTTCGTGAATTACTAAGCTGGTCACTGGTCATTACTTAGCTTACCTGCCAGTTGAGACTTGCTGGGGAAGGTGGACAAAAGCAGATGGCATATGCTCTCACTGAATGTATATTCTTGTTGAGAAATGATAACTATGACAGAGTTACAAGAAGCTGTGAGAGGAAGAGGGAGGCAGAGTTCTGGTAGCGTAGGTCAGATCACTGGGAAGACGACGCTAAGATGAGGTTCCCCTGAGCTTCCCTAGGGAGTGCTCCCAAGAGCCACCCTTCTGAGGGAGGGAGAGCAGCTGGGCAGAGCAAATTCCAGAGCCCACAGCCAGTTCTTTGGGAGGCTCTGGATGTGGGGTGATCCTTTACAGTGTTCCTCGTTAAGGCAAGGGGTCCAGGCCTTTGGACTGGCATTGGCCAGTTAGTTATCAGACTAAGGCTGCACTTGGAGAGGAGGTGTGACCTTGAGGCACTCCCACCCTGCGAGTTCAATGCCCAGAGAGGAACTCAGCTCTGGACTCTCAGCAAGGAACAACCCTGTCCCCCATCCCCTGGGGATGAGAGCTTCAGGCCTAACAAGGGGATGTGCCCAGAATGTCCACCACAGCAGGCTCTCCTCAGCACTCTGGGAAGGAAAGTATAATATGCAGCAGGGCTGACCGTAGGCAGAAACAGGGCCACCAGGGCACTGCCCTGACTATAAGCCTTGGCCTCAACTGTGTGTCCCCAGGCCGGATGGCCCTAGTGTGGAAGGTGCTGTCCCACTGCTTTTCTCCATGTCCTGTTCTCTCCACATCCCAGATCCCCAGGTCATGATCCTCAGACTCAAAGAGCATTCAAGTAAGGATCCCAGTGAGTTTGAGTCACGTGGGTGACCTGCACTCCCCACTAGGTTGTTTGAGGATCTATATTCTGCACCAAGTCCCTCCCAGAGCCAGTGGTCTAAGATGACTGCAAGTTAAGGTAGTGATCTGCAAGTGACATGAGGATCATGGAGAGCAGCCGGCTTGTTGTTGTCCAGCAGAGTGTACAATGACAAGCTCTATCTTTTCTACACTGGCCCCTGCCCTGGAGGGGGCGTGGCCATGACCACAGGGAGTAAGGGCCAGAAGGACCAATACTCTCACACAGGGAGGTGGACACAGTAGGAGATCAAGTCAGATAGGCCTGGGATTGAATCCTGGCTTTGCTACTTACTAGCTGTGTGACCCTGGGGAAGTTGCTTGACCCCTCTGAGCCTGATTTTTCCCATCTGTAAAATGTCAGTAATGGCAATACCACATGGACCTGTGAGGGTTAAGTGGGATTTATTTGGTATGGAGCAATAAAGGTTTACTGCTATTATTATATCATAGGAGTGACCCAGCTAACCTGTTTTTTTCCTTCTTCTAGTTGCTGACATGGCCTCCAGAAACTTCTTCAGGAGCCTTTGGTCTCCTGTGGGATCTCAGTGTGGATGGGCTCTTCCATCAGTCTGGTCAGTACTAGGGAGCAGAGTGGAGACTTTTGCCCTGAGTACCCAAGCTCAAGAGCCTATATAATACACAGCTTTCTACAGCCCTAGAGCTGGGCATGCAGGAGAGGTGCTGATGGGGACACTGCATCACTGGGACACGGAGACATCAAGCCATCTTTGGCTCTGGCTCCAGCATTAATAAAAAGCTGAGCCAACAGGCTCCTTGGCACCTTGATTTGGCTTCAGACTTATGTCACTGTGGCCAAGTCCAGGCTCACCTCACAGACTCCTGGGATCCCAAAACTGTCTGGAACGTGAGTTTTCTGGATTTAAAGAGACAGCTTGCCTTTGAGTTCTTCCTGCGAGCCCCAGTTTGCTTGGGAGGGTTTCATGAACATCTGCATCAAATCAGGGAAGATCCTAGGGTTAGAGTCACCAAGGGGGAGGCCCTTGAAGCAATGTCCCCACCAGCAGTCCCCCTTGGCTCCTTGGGTATCAGCAGGGCCCCTAAGTGTGATCCAGGCAAAAATGAGAGCCCTGAGTCTGTACCTTGGTCCTGACATTGAAATGGTGATTTAGGTCATCTTTATACTTGAAGATGTTCAGAGTTTCACAGGGCAATCAATTTTCCATTTAGTGGCTGTACTGTTCCCAGGCTGTCATCATTTGGTACCTGAACCTAGACACTTGGGCACCAAAAGCTATCATGTAGCCAGTTGAAAGTTGCTTATGGCAGACAGGGAGAGGGATTCACAGGTGTCTGGAGCCTGCTTTTGCCCACAGCTGTAATCTGCCCACCCTTTCACTAAAATTCGAAAGCGCCTAACCCTGAAGGCCAAAGTTATAGACCCACCATGCAGCATTAAGCCCCTGCCCCATTGGCCCTTTGCATTTCTGCTTTTGTGCCTCTTGTACTTCACGAGGTGACTGAGCTAGGGCCCATCTATCAAATGGGAGCATTCCAAACTCCTGCACCCTCTCCCCTCCTCCCTCATTCTCCATCCCCACGCTGGGACCCTTGTAACTGAGGTCTTCTGAATAGCACCAGTCTGGGCATCTGCACTCTTTTCATAACCTCTGCTCCTACAGCCTGGGCTGCCCTTTCCTGAACCTCTGGGGCCTCCTCTGCAGCATGCCTGCCCTTTTGGGGAACAGAGGCCTTCCTTGTCCCGCTCCTCTCCTCCATGCAGTGGTATGTGTCTCCTCCCGCAGAGGCAGAGGGGACGTCCCATTCTTCTTTGCTTCTTGTCCCATTGTCCCTGATTCAGCCTCCATCAGGAGGGGCTAGGAACTTGCTCTGGAGTTCCCAGCCAGTTCAGCTCTGGCTCCGGAGTCTTTCTCATGGTATTACTTGAGAGCCCAGCCCGGGCTTCTCTTTCTTTCCCATTGGGATACAGACTGGCGTAGAGAATTCCATGCCAAGGTTGGGAACTTGACTGGTTTGGGGAAGGTCAAAGGCCAGGTCCACAAAAGAATCGAAAGCAGGATCTTAAACAGGTATTTGTACATCCGGGTTCATAGTAGCATTATTCACAAATAACCAAAAGGTGGAAGTAACCCAGATGTCTCTGACTGGATGAGTGGATAAAATGTGGTATATACATGCGCCAGAATACTATTCTGCATTAAAAAGGAGGGAAATTCTGACACAGGCTACAACATGGATGAACCATGAGGACATTACGCTAAGTGACTAAGCCAGACACAAAAGGAGAAGTACTGTGTGGTTCCACATATGTGGAGTACCTACAGACTTCGAGTTCATAGAGATGGAATGTGGAATGGTGGCTGCCAGGACCCAGGGGAAGGGGCAATGGAAAGTTAGTGTTTAACGGGGACAGAGTTTCAGTTTGGAAGGATGGAAATGTTGGAAATGGACCATGGTGATGGTTACACTACTGTGTAACAGTGTGAGTGTGCTTAACACCACTGAACTGTACACTTCAAAATGGCTAAGGGGAAATTTTTATGTTATGTGGCTTTTACCATCCAAGCAGGATCCATGCTGTCAGCTCAGAGCCCTACTCGACAACCTGATATTGCCTGTTCTCATGAACCACGAGATCATGACCTGAGCCAAAATCAAGAGTCGGACACTTAACTGACTAAGCCACACCAGTGCCCCCAGATCTCTCCATTTTCAAGAGAAAACTAAGTTTTAGTTAGTTTTACTTTAAGTGACAGATATCCAGTTCAGAGAAGTTTATTATCTCACATGACAAGAAATCCAGATGTGGGGGTTTCCATGGTAGTTTAGCAGATCTTCAGTATTAGGGCTCCGGCTTTAGCTTCTTCTCACTAGTTCTCACTACTTCTCCTCAAGGTTGCAAAATGGCTGCTATAGCACCAAGCATCATCATGTTCTCATGACACAGCAGTTCAAGGCAGAAAGAAGAGTAGAGGAGAAGAGGTCATCCTTTCTCATATTTTTCTCTCTTTATCAAGATACTTTCCATTTTGTTTTATTAGACAGAACTGGGTCACAGGCTTTAGAGGACATTTGCCGTGTTTTCTGACTATCTGATGCCCTTTGAACAGCCTGGCTATGTTTGAAGAATTTTTAGTCTCCTGATCCTACCCCTCCAGGGTAGAATCCTGGAGACTCACTTTTCCAGCCTCCTTTCAAATATTTCAATTTTTAGTTTTAGAATTTCCATTTAGTTCAGTATTATTATTATTATTATTTTGTAGTTTGTATTTCTCTACTGGGAGTTCTTATATGTTCATTCAATATGAGCATATTATCATTTACCACACTGAGCATAGCTGTTAACAGTTGCTTTAAAATCCTTGTCTGTAATTATAACATCTGGATCATCTAATTCATCAACATGGAAAAATAAGTATGAAAGTGAACATTTACTTAAAAATTTTTGTAATGTTTTTTATTTATTTTTGAGAGTCAGAGACAGCATGAGCAGGGGAGGGGAGGGGCAGAGAGAGAGGGAGACACAGAATCTGAAGCAGGCTCCAGGCTCTGAGCTGTCATCACAGAGCCCGACGTGGGGCTCAAACCCACGAACCGTGACATCATGACCTGAGCCAAAGTCGGACGCTTAACTGACTGAGCCACCCAGGCGCCCTGTGAACATTTATTTAGACTGAGTACAGAAGTCATACCAAATACTGGACTTTGAGCAGTTCAGGTCTCTTTCTTCTAGATCTCTTTAGATCTAGAAATGTTCCAGAAATGCTCATGTAGAAATGACCATTGGTTGTAGCCTGGCTTTCCTACAGACCATCCAACAGGATGTTCACAGGGGGCCTTGCAAGTGAGGACTTCAGAGCTTAAGCTTCATTAACTTTAGGGTCATTTGGTTTCTGACACATAACAAACTGCTTTCCATTCAAACACCCAGAGCTTTTTTTCTGTTGCCTGTAGCTCAGAGCCCTGACTGGATGTTTGGGGCCAGAGGGGTAGGGATGGCAAACTCACTTGTCTGTGGGGACTAGAGAGTTCCTGCCCTGTCTGAGAGACTGGTAAGTCTGGTATTCGCACATTTCTCTATTTATTTATTTATTTATTTTGAGAGATTGAGAGTGTGAGCACAGGGGGAGGGGCAGAGGACGATGGGGGCCATTGCAGGCATAGTGAAACATTGTTAATATTTATTAAGACAGGGACAGAACTTGTGTTGTTTAGATGTAATTCACATACCATGTAATTCACTCATCTAAAGTGTTATGATTCAATATGATTCATAGAGTTGCTCAACCATCATCACTATCTAATTCCAGAACATTTTCATCACCCCAGAAAAAAACCTCATACCCATCAGTGGTCCCACCCCCTCACTCCGCCCAGCCCCTAATCTACATTCTGTCTCCATGAACTTGAGTATTCTGGACATTTCATATAAATATAATGATACAATATGTGACCTTTTGTATCTGGCCTCTCATTTAGCATAATGCTTGCAAGGTTCATGGAAGCTGTAGCATGTATTAGTACTTCATTCTTTTTTATGACTGGATAATATTCCATTGTATGGATGTACCATGTTTTATCCATTCATCTGTTGACAGACTCTTGGGTTGTTTCCACTTTTTGACTATGTGAATACTACTGCAACAAACATTTGCATGCAAGTGCTTATGGGGACATGTGTTTTCCTTTCTCTTGGGTGGAATTGCTAGGTCATATGGTAACTGTATATTTAACTTTTTGAAGGATTGCCAAACTATTTTCTCAAGTGGCTGCATCATTTTACATTCCCACCAGCAATGTAGGAGGGTTCCAGTTTCTTCACACCCTTGCTAACATTTGTTACTGTCCATCTTTTAATAGCCAAAACTAGTGGGTGCTAAGTGGTATCCTGTGGTCTAGATTTGCATTTCTCTGATGACTAAGGATGTTCAGCATCTGTTCATATACTTATTGGCCATTTGTATATCTTCTTTGGGGAAACATCTGTTCAAGCTTAGCCCATGTTTTGATTGGGTTGTTAGTCTTTTTTGTTGAGTTGCAGGAGTTCTTTATATACTCTAGATACTAGACCCTCGCCAGATACGTCATTTCCAGATATTTTTTCTCGTTCTGTGGTTTATCTTTTCACTTTCTTGATAGTGGGCTTTGATGCACAAGTTTTAAATTTTGATAAAGTCTAATTTATCTAACTTTTCCCTACTGTTTCCTATGCTTTCAGTGTCAAATAAGACACCATTTCCTAGTCCAAGGTCATGAATATTTTTCCCTAGTGTTTCCTTCCGAAAGATTTATACTTTTGGCTCTTGCATTTAGCTCTTTGATTTATTCTGAGTTGTTTTTTTAATATGGTATGAGATAGGGGTTCAGCTTCATTTTTCTGTATGTGGATATCCAATTGTTGAAAAACACTATTTGTTGAAAGGACTGTTCTTTCTCAGGGTGCCTGGGTAGCTCAGTTGGTTGAGTGTTCAACTTCAGCTCAGGTCATGATCTCACGGCTCGTGGGTTCAAGCCCTGCATTGGGCTCTGTGCTGGCAGCTCAGAGCCTGGAGCCTGCTTTGGATTCTGTATCTCCCTTTTTCTCTGCCCCTCC